CTGGTTTCTCCTCGCTGTGTGTGTTTCTTGTGCTCAGCAATGCGAACTTTCAATGGCCTCTTAGTTTCACCGCACTCCGCACTCGCAGGGTATCCGGTAAATGCAATTCTTGGAATCGCAGTCCGCATTTGGTGGCTTGGTTTTCGTGAGGCTGCTACGGATACTGTTCCCAGATCTGAAGCAGGTCCTGATGTTATACTTGGACCCAATCCTTCGTATCCTTTCCGATAATCCTCTGATGTAGGGAGGTACAAGTACTGGTTGTGGAGGCTTCTCTTCCTTGTGGAGCTCTTGCTGTCTTCTAGCTAAAGCCTGCTCTACCATCACTCTGGAGTAACCATTCCGTTAAAGGTCGTTTTTGATGATGCCTAGTTCCCTTTCGAGACCTTCCTTTGTATTACAGAGCCCGAAGGTAAGGTCTAGTAGAGTCTTGATGATTCCTCTCGTAGTCGATTGATGGGGGTTGGATTTCTGGTTTAGATACTGTCCTGTGTGAGTGGGTTTTCGATATACAGATGTTTCCCATTTAGTGTCGGTCCTCTTCACCAATACGTCTTCACCAATACGTGCTTCTTCGACAGGAACGTCGGTATAGAGGCTTTCCACGTCGAAACTGATCAGTTGATCCTGCTCTCTGACTTCGATTTCCTCTAGTAGTTCAACGAAATGCCTTGAATTTTTCACAAAAGATGATGTTTTACCTTGCAATGGTTTAATTATTGGTAGTAAAAATCTGAGTGGTTCTGAGTGGCTGAATCTCTGGAGCTAATGATCGGCCTTTTTTTGGATTTATATTATAAAGGGTTTTTCAATAAGGGCGGGTAGATGTTCAAATTGAATATGATATAAAGTGTGTGCGATTTCAAACCGCAACACCCTGTTATTTTGGAACACATGAACTGATTTTGAAAAATAAAAATTCTTATTTTCAAGGCCTACTATGACCTGCTCAGTGAGTCGCAATTTCCAGAAGAGTCATTAGACATTTTACTGTCGGAAAAGTGAATAGTCCATTCCAAGTTTCAGCCCAATATCTCATACAGAGCCTTAGTTATATGATGACAAATTCCCAAATTCATGATTTTTTGACTGACCCTGTATAACAAACTGTACACTTCGAATGAAAGGTGAAGTAGCAATTGAAATGAGAAACACATGAAATATTCAAATACTGAGTTATATCATCGTAACAGGTACAGATAGATGTCCCCAGTTCAACCAAAAATCAATAGTTGAAAATGTTTTATCCATATCGTTTGATTTTTTTGGTATAATAGTCGATCAACAATTGTAAAAATACCCCTTTATATGCTTTTTTCGAACACTTGTTTCAACTCGATGATATATTTTGGCAAAATTCTTATGATTTCATTTCATACGGCATATTCATATGATAAGATCAATAAGCCAGGCACTATTATTATTATCTTTCGTCAATATAGCAAAAATAGTCTACAAAGCTTTTACATTTGGTACATACTTTGGTGAAATTTCTAATTATCATTAGTTTGAAGGTGGTTGACAATGGGAGATGACCGTTTGACGGGAGTTGGTCGTTTTTCGTTTGATTAGAGGTTTCCATATGTTACGCATCTCTACGCTAGCTTAACTAATTGCGTTGTTGGACAACATATACGCGGCTTCTTTGAATTTTCTCCTAAACCAGTGATCCTCTTTGTGGATGATTTCAGCTTGAGCCCACTTGCTATTTTGTTGATGAGCCCAAACATGCTCTGCTCTTCCGGATTTGCTGGTTTCTCCTCGCTGTGTGTGTTTCTTGTGCTCAGCAATGCGAACTTTCAATGGCCTCTTAGTTTCACCTATGTGCGGATACCCTGCGAGTGCGGATACCCTCCGCACTCGCAGGGTATCCGGTAAATGCAATTCTTGGAATCGCAGTCCGCATTTGGTGGCTTGGTTTTCGTGAGGCTGCTACGGATACTGTTCCCAGATCTGAAGCAGGTCCTGATGTTATACTTGGACCCAATCCTTCGTATCCTTTCCGATAATCCTCTGATGTAGGGAGGTACAAGTACTGGTTGTGGAGGCTTCTCTTCCTTGTGGAGCTCTTGCTGTCTTCTAGCTAAAGCCTGCTCTACCATCACTCTGGAGTAACCATTCCGTTAAAGGTNAGACCGCGGCGATGTTCTCGGCCGATCTTGCGTTCCTTGAACGTACGGGTATTGGCTGATTGTTTACTGAACCGGTCGTCTCAAATTTGGCCACCAAACGTTGAAGAGTCGACTTTGAAGGGCCACCACGTCTACCGTAAAATGGGCGCAATGCGCGCAACGTTTGCGTTAACGAACACTCATTTTGATAATAAAGTTTTATCATTTAAACGTGCTGTTCAATCGTGTAACTTGTCATGATGATTTGGCATAAACAACTGAATAATAAACAAAAGATTTGACAGATGTCACCAAAACAAAATGACCGCCACGAGGCGCCAAAATCTACCCGCGCCAATTGGAAAACCCTTTATTAGACAATGGAAGTCCGAACTGATGAAATAAAACGTCATTACTTCAGAGATTGGCCTAGAGCTAGTGAGTTATGAATCTGGTCAATTCTAATTGGTTCTATATAAAAGATCCTTTTTTCTGTTCGTTATTTTTCGTTTGTAACTTACCCCTTTGGGAATCTGGTAACCCCCTAGGACAATATCTTTCACCGTGGTCCTGATAGATCCAATAGCAACAGGAGCAATCCTGTTGGACTCCTTCATCACAGCCTTCAAGTAGGATAACTTTTCCAATTTCTCTGCTGTAATATCTGAGTCTTTCTCAGGAAGAACCTTGAAAATCTCTTCCCGCAGCTTGGCTTGCTTCTCCGGATTCTTGGCTAGGAAGTAGAGTATCGATCCCAACGTTTTGCCGGTCTGGAATTGAATTTGTTATTAAATTTTCTTTCGCGTCAGTTATTCGAATTCTGTAGTTTTTGCTAACCGTATCCAATCCGGAAATCAGCATGTCGATCACCATGGTGAAGGCCACTTTTTTGTCTCGTTTCCCAAGTCTGTGAAGGATACTGAGCTCGTGTTCGGGCACTGACTCGTCGATGGGCTCGGCCAAGGCCTCGTCGATGCTTTTTACAATGACGCTAAGATGAAATAAAATTTGTTATCACATTCCAGCTATAGATAGACATTAAAAAGACATTAGGTTATTATTCAAAAGTGATAATACTGCATGGAATCGGCTGATGCTTGATGACAATCCATAACGTATTCAAGTAACATTTCATTGTAGGAGGTTCTCTGAACAGTGTTTCGCTATAGTCGTAATTAAACTCTTTTGTTCTTTAATTCGCTTGGAAAAGGATCTTCCCGTTTGGCCAACATAAAGTTTTGGGCAAGAGTTTTCTGTGAATTTTTTAAGGACAAAACCCAAGCACTACAGGAATCCTCGAGCCGCTCTAAGAGCGGTGCCTGTGCGACAGTAGCGATCAACATTGGATTTGAATCCCTGATGATTACATCCATTTGGATGTACTCCAAAGACGGTCTGATCTGAGCTTTATAAAGCAACAAAAGTTGCTGGGGTTTGTACAGTTTTCTGGTTCAGAACAGTTTTCCAAGCTTTTGAGAAGCAGCCTTTGCAATGGGTTTGTTTCATGCTATTGAAAACGAAACTGGTTTGCTTATCGACTGATCGATTTAGGGGTATATTGTACTTATCAAGCCTAATCGGTTCTAAGAAAATAATGTTTTATTGAGTTTTGTGTTATTTGGATCCCATGTATAATTAATTTTCTGTTTCAATTCATTTCTTGCACTTGTTTCTTAGATTTGGTTGTCGAAAGTGACTGTGATTTTATTTTGAATCACGAATGAATCCGAAACTGTTCATACACTCCGTGGATTTTATGATTTGGCAATGTTGATTATTTTTATTGTTACTATTGGTCAATCGAAGAAGAAGCGGGACTAGGCCCGGGACGTCACGGGCCTAGAAAATCCGATTTTTAATAAATAATTACGGGGTAATAACGGTATTTAGAAAGGTGAAACAAAGTGCACTGTTTTTCAATTTGAAATTACTATCAAATGAACTGTACAGTATTATGTCAAGAAATATTTGTGTCCATTTCAATCCCCAACAAACTTATCGAAGCAGAAAGTGGATTTGTCTGACCTGACATTATTATATCCGGTTCGGAGATATTTATCTTCTTGGAGAAAACCAATGCCTGGGTTTTTTGGCATTGAATTGAACCTGGTTACTTTCACCCCAATTCTAAATCACTTCTAGATCATCATTGAGATATGCAACCTCCTGCTGCCGGTGAAGATGTGCATCCGCAGCCGATGTCCTGGAATCCAAATGGAATGACGAGACAAGTGTGCTGTTGTCAGCAAAGCAATATATTGGATTCATGTTTTTTTCCAATAAGTCGTTGATATAGAATAAAAAGAGGGTTGGAGACAATATGGATCCCTGGGGAACACCAGCGTTAATGGTGAGACTATCCGAGAGATATCCATCGACGACCACTTGCCACACACAGTCAAATGTCTTAGAAATATCAAGCGCAACAGCTCTTGATTCTCCATGTTTTTCGATTGCGTTGTTCCAAATATGGATGACATACGATGGAAGGTCGGCTGTTGATCTTCGTTTCCGGAAGCCATATTGGTGATCGCTCAAGATGTTAAAGCCTTCCAAATATTTAAGGATATGGTGGTTTACGACCTTCTCTATGATTTTTGATATCACTGATAGCAAAGTGACTGGTCTATAGTTATTTGGAAGGTTTTTCTTGCCTTTTTGGGAATAGCGTAAACGCGAGCAATCCTCCAACAAGACGGAAAAACCCTTCTTTGTGAGATGGGTTGAAAAGTCTGCAAAATACTGGTGCGACTTCATTGGCGTACTTTTTAAGTACAATGAAGAGTACTTCATCA